AATTGAGATCCAGACGATGCGCCTACCGCTGATCTCCAAGAGTAATAAAAATCATAAGAGGCGGATTCTTTCGGTGGTGAATAAAAAATCGCTGATCTTTCCCGTTTTTTTTTTCTTTTCTTTTCGGTATGAGGTAAATTCCATTTAATGAAAAAGAAAGATGCCCGACCATTCATAAAAATATGAGGGTTGTTTCGCAAAGGCATTTTATTCGCTGGAGAATTCCTGGAAGCTCAGGGTATAGAGGTTGTCTGAACTATGAGTCGGTCCACGTTCCTACATTGGCGGGCCACAGCGTACGTACGAGTTTTCCCGTAGACGGAGAAAGTACTAGGCACTATCTCTCCAATATCTAAGTAATAATTTTAATGAAATTCCAGCGAAGCCGAGCGGTCTCCGAATTTCAATCCCCGATAAATGACGTCGCGGATCGTGGAAAATGTACCGTCACACGGATCAAACCCCTTTCCACAGCGTCAATTCACTTGGTACCTATATATACATACTCACTTCTATTTCCGCCTGCTGTGCTCATCGCTTTTCTCATCGTTCACCAACTCCATACCTCTTTTATTTATCACTTTTTCCACACGCTATCCAACTTATGGAGCGATTTCTCGAGTGAATACGGCGAATGAATAAACTAGTGTAATTTTTTCAGAGTACCAGGAAGACTCGATAAAAATTTATTAATTTCTCAAATAGAAAAAATTCTCAAAAGGAAAATGTCGGAGGATACAGCAGCTATATCTCGCAAATGGAAGTGGCATATCCCGGAGTGAGGAAATAAAAAAAAACTAAAAGCGTAAGACAGATGTTTTGTGAGGCAAGAAAGGGCTGAGTGATTCGCCGAAAAAGATACCATCCGAAGGTGAAAAATGCTTGAAAATTCGAGGTAAAGAGAGATGAGGCCAAGAAAAATCAGGAGAGTGAAATAAAAATGGGGGTAGCAGACCGCCATTTTAAAAATTTATTCCCCCACAATATTTATCGTAACCGCACAGAAATAAATCGACGGGCATCATAATTACCACATGTTCAATTTCAGGAAAGAGTGCAGTCAGTGAGTGCAGGAAACGTTTGAATAATTGTCAAAGTAGTTTGAGAACATTTCCGGGTAATTTAACAAAATACCAACGACAAATTGCGAGTGGTGGAGCAATGGTGAATGAATGAGACGGTATATGCAAATGATCTCGCGTAGTTTCCAACACTCGTCGCGTATCCATTGTCTCCGTGTCAACCCTGTCATTGTGATGCCATTTCTCCGTCTTTTCCTGGTGTAATTGATTGCTCAGTACCTATGCACTTCTTATCCACCTTTGGATTCACCTTTTCCATTTATTTTTTCACCTATCGCTGATATTTTACGGTTTAACGAGCACGCAGATGCATCTGGGCACACATAAACAAATGTGAACCCATAAATTTGCCATTGGATTAATGCAGAATGTGCGTCATAATACTTGGCATGAATATCTCTCTGGGCGTATCACTATATTCGTAACGAGATCGCTGCCCATTCGTCCCGTTTTATTTTTCTTTAGCATTTTTTTTTTGGGGAGGGGGTTCATGGAGTTTTTAAGCGGCTTAAAACTTTGAGCTTCACCGACGCACGCCACCCGGAGTTTTGCATTTTAAAGTCCAAGGATAGTGCTCATGACACTAAGCGCAAACAGAAGAATACCTTCGAGCGAAATTGATTATGCAGAGGCAGAGACTTTTTCATAATTATTCTGCAGTTTATGGGGCGTCTTTTTGGGATTAATTACTGCGATGATTGTAGGCGGAAATTTTTGCGGTTGACAGAAATATATTTTGGTCTACTGGGGAAATAATTGGGATCTGGTTCTCAGCGCGGGTTCAGCGATTTTGGGAATACTGGGTTTTATTCAGTGAAAAAATTGGAAAATTCGAAATTTTCAAAAAAGTATCAGGGGAGCATGAAAATGGAGGAGATATTCACTGAAATGTGAAAATTCGAAATTTTTGAAAAAGTATCAGGGGAACATAAAAATCGAGGAGGAATTCACGGAAATTTGAAAATTCAAAATTTTTGAAAAAGTACCAGGAGAGCATGCCAATTGAGAAAGTATTCACTGAAATTGAAAAATTCGAAATTTTCAAAAAAATATCAGGGAAGCATGAAAATCGAAGAGGTATTCACGGAAATTTTAAAAATTCAAAATTTTTGAAAAAGTACCAGGAGAGCATGACAATTGAGAAAGTATTCACTGAAATTCAAAAATTCGAAATTTTCAAAAAAATATCAGGGAAGCATGAAAATCGAACAGGTATTCACTGAAATTTGAAAATTCCAAATTTTCGAAAAAGTATCAGGAATGCATGAAAATGGAGGAGGTATTCACTGAAATTGAAAAATTCAAAATTTTCAAAAAAGTCCTATAAAAATTCTTACCAGTAAAAATTCTTACCAGTGATGGCACTTAACCAGCCTTTTTCACCGACTAGTCTAATCGAGATTAAAATCGCGGTAGACAAAGGGTGATGAGAGCGGGTTGGGGAGGACAAGGGGGGTGGATAAAAAAGGGGAAATAAAAAGGGATCGATACACCTCCCTGGGATGGCAACTACGATAAGAGTATTGGAGAGGGCAAGCTGCCATATTGTAAGAGGAATTTAAGGGGGAGTTGGCTGGGACACAAGATTCTTCACATTGATTGATTGGATACGCTTGTATTGTTTCAGGAGGAAGCTGAATCGACGTAACGTTTCTGGTCTGAACCGGGATGGCCAGTTGGCTGCTGAAAGCTCTGCTACTATCCAGCACGCTTGGCCTCGTTTGTGGTAAGCCTCAAATACTTCACTCACCATCTGATCGATCGACAAGATTCAATTTTACTCCCAGAAACCAAGAATCATCCCTCACCTCTTCCCAATTCTCACGTCCCCACCGATAAAAATAATTACACTCACCGAATAATAAATTCCCCAAACAATATTCATCCAGAAGTCATTCCTCTCATCCTGGTATTGAAAAAAGAAATAATATTTTCACGCAAATGTAATTCCCGTGTTGTTTACGTCAGAGAGAAGAAAAGAGAATTTAAAGACTGAAAAGTTCCACCGACAAAGTCAATATTTGGCAAAATATTTTTTCTCACCGTGATATATTTAGCGTTTCTCTTCTCCTTTCACCACGTTTAACAAAGTTCTCTCAAAGATTTCACTCATCCCAGCCATTAAAACTTGGCAATCGTTTTAGCCGCGCCATCCTGTTCCGTTGAATGAGAATAAAAGGGAAGAGGGATGAAAAACCAACGGAGCGGTGGAACCGTTGAATTATGAATGTCTGTTCACTCCGGCTGCCACATGTTGACCGATAATAAATAGGTGTTACATATGGAGGATGCCTCGGAGCTAATCATTCTAATAGAATTTTCTCAACATTCAATCGCATCGACGCCCAGAATAACGCCAGGAGCAACTTAAATTTGCAACTAGGACATCGAGATCCTCCAGAGTCGTATAGAAAACGAATGGTCGTTGTGGGAATAAAAATTTAGAAAGTTTTCCCACTTTCTCAATGGAAATCCTGTCCCTCCTTCCCTTCCACCCCTTCCACCCCTTCCTCCCATTCCACCCCTTCCTCCCCGTCCACCCCTTCCTCCCCTTCCACCCCTTCCTCCCCTTCCACCCTTTCCTCCCCTTCCTCCCCATCCCCCTAAGATCTGAACTATCAGACAAACGTAATCAATTGAAAAAACACGAAGCGAGGATAGAAACCAGATAATAATCCTAAAGATATTTTCCCCCGGGAGTTTATCGTGAAAATCTCACTAGTGCAGTCAAGACACATAACGATAAGTCCGGGGGATGAAAGAAAAAAAAAATGAAGTTGATTTGCCCGTGGTGAGAAACGTAAGCAGGAAGTGAAGAAACGAAAAGAATAAATGGTGGGTGGATAGAGAGAAAAAAGAGGAGTGTAAAAAAGCCGAGGAGAGGAGCAAAAAGTGAGGATGGTAGGTGGTACAGGAGAGAGGCAGACGTCGGTATAGCGGAAGTGAACAGAATAGTGGATAGAGCAGACGGGGAACTAGTTGGGGGGTTTGGTGGGGTTGGGAGGGAATTGGAGGAAGGAAAGCTCTCGCTTAGTGCGGAGGTTTCTTAAAGATGCGAGTCGGGGCGCACTTGTTGCTCTGAAAGGCCAAATCCGGAATCGAGCGGGGGGTACGACGAGGATGCCAAAAAGATGGGGAGGGATGGATAGGGAAGAGGATGACTGCTAGTAGATAGTTTGCCAGCGGAAAAAGCTCGCAAAAGGTGAGGAAAAGCTGGATATGGAAGGGGTGGATAAGTTGTCGGCGAATCACGGTGGGAATCGAATTGATTTCCTCCTTTTATGGGCTTTTCCCCCCATTTTCCGTAGAGCCGATTCCTCTCTCTCTCTTTCTCTACAGTTATTCGCTGTAAATTCTATATCTATCGCTTCTCTAGACACTCCATTTACTCTTGACCTGGGGCTCTTACTCCTGCCGATTATTTATTTAACGAAAGCCGCGTCTTTGCGCGTGTTACCGATATGGCGGTTATTATCGCGATTCGTCGAGTTCTCGGTGGCCGGTTTAACGTCTCGGTGTTATTCTCTTTTTCTTTCTGCGTTTTATGGGGCTTTTTCTACTGAGTCCGAGGCACTTGTCGCAAGCACTAACTCCGCGGAAATCCATTGACATGGGATTGAACGCTGGGGTGATTGGATTTGAGAGCTGTGCAAGACACTCTTTAGAATTACTCAGTATTTCTGGAACCCTCCTGGGGCTATTATCCATCAAAAGTTGTTGGGGTATTTTATGTGTAATAATTCATAGTTGACTTGCCCAAGGGGTGCATAATGCTTGAAAATTTATGACTCTGGATGAATATAGGTACAAAAAATACCACTCCATCTTCGGTTATTTCTCTTTATCTATGACAGAGTACACCTGAGCTGCACTTTGGTAAGTTTCAAGTGCTATCATCCTAACAGAGCACAAAAATAGTGAAATTGGTGTTGACGGAGGCGCAGCATGAGGCAAAACCCTCAACCCTCAACCCTCAACTTTCATCGAAAGTTCACTGGAGCGTCCGTCAGTTTCTCCTTGAGCCAACAATAAATTTCCAAGTTGAATCCACAACGGCTGATGCCAATGTACCTCCATTGTCACAGACCATAATACATAATGTGGAAAACAATTATAACATATTCACCTGGTGCATCCCAATAGCCATAAAATTCGCCACTATTCAGGTCCTCGAGTCTGGGGCTCACTGGTAAACTTGGTCCTTTGAGAACTCTCAGGAGTCGCTGACGAGGCTGTCGCTCCCCCGGGTATTTTCACCCGTAAAACGAGTGAGAGGGAATATGTAACTCGTACGGATGATGCTTGCACGTACATCAACGCACATCTATTCTCGCTCCCCCGTGTGAAATGTTGCGTTCGCTTGGTGCATTGTTAACGCGCCTCGTTAAACCTCCTACGTGGCCATTTCAAATTAGGCCATACCCAGACCTGCGCGTATCCCTTCGCCAACCAACCATTGTCATCACGTCACACTGCAAATCTCACCCACCGATCCAACCGTATTATTGATTTTACCATTGTTATATTATTCACCGTTTTATCCCAATCATTGAAAACTTGCTCTCACCCTCTGGAATAAAAAATCCCTTCGTTAACCCCATCATTGTCAATTAATCCTAAACATTTTAATTTTCCACTATTTTATTATTTCTCAACAATTCTCAAACTCTGTGGAATTTCTCTATTTCAATTTCGCAAACAATTTTCACTGACCTAGTTATCACACCGGCGTAGGGTCACACCCCTCTGGGGATAATGATGAAAAAATTGATAAAGCGAATGGTGGTATTGCTCGAGTTTTATATACATGTACTCTGTGTAATGTATATAATGTATATTAATGGACTTTCTTAATTTGACGTTTTGGTTAATAGCGCAAACAATTTGTTCTGATCTATTTATTATATTGTGATAGGCTCATATCCGGGGGATGATGATAAAAAAATAAATAAAGCGAATGGCGGAATTGTTGGAGTTTTATACTCATGTACTGGTCTATATATCACGTTATTCTCGGTATTTTCGCATGTGCATTGAACTGCTTAACTTCGATGACGTTCAACTTTCTACAAGGGCCTTCCATTAACTATCCAATAAAAGAACAAACTGGGAGGAGCTTCCGAGTTGAACTCGGGACAATACTGTGCACTGACAAAGTACACCAGCAAGTCCATAAATTTCTTTCCACTCCCCGATACGCTGTACCGAGACAAAATGTTCTTCTGAGTATCGCCGAGTCGATTTTCTGTGTTTCCACATAATTTAACACACGCGTATGAACGAGTACACCAAGATATTTTTAAGATTGAGTAAAAAATATTGAGAGTTTATTTAATATACTCATTAACATCAATTTGCCTGGAAAATTAACTGACATGGTTGATTAGGATCAACCCTGGAGGATGCCAACTCATTTCAATTGCAGAAGCTCACCGCAAACCCCATGTTGTGGTGGTGTTGGCGCCATGTTCCGGTTAATGGCTTCGCCTTCCACCCTTGAGTGCTTAAAAAAATAATCTCAACCCCCTAATCCTCTAATCAACGTCACGACCATTTTCTCCATGGAATCCAGTACTAGAACCTTCAAATCATCACTTGTAGTCAATTCTGTTGGGATTTTTCATGAAAAGAATTTTTCGCAAAGGATTCACAAATCTGGGAATAACTGCTCCAGAGTGCTAGGATCATTACAATTTCAAAAAGGACTATCGGTACTCACGTAGTCTGAATACGCGTCAGGGGAGACCTTAGGTATTGAGTACACTCCCACCGGAGTATTCAAGAACAGAGAGTAGTGTGGAACACCTGGGCTTGCTCTCCAAAACTGTCTTGGTCAGCTTGAAATAAAACAAACTCAGACATCCCCAGTGGATCGTGAATCTTCACAGACTCTCCTCTGATCCCAAGAGGAAATATATTATCTTTCCCACTGTTTGTTCAGGATCCCAGCTTGATTATTCCATGGAATCATGTAATTCCACATGCACGTCATGCATTTCCCAGAAATTCAAGGGATGTGGCTTGAATTATGAATTCTCTTAAATTTTTTTTCTACTCTTCTGAATAAAAATATCTGTAAAAATCATTCGGATCAATAATCAGGGAGAGTCAGCACTCCTCAGGTCAATACCCGCATCCTCTTTGATATGCAGATTACGAAAAACAAGAGAAAAAAATCAAACGCTTCGAACTTCTCCTCTGTGCACCTTCTCATTTGGTTATGCATAAACAATTGATGCAGCAAGGGAAACCACTTGTGCTAAAGCATTCGCACTAAGCGATAATGGTAAACAAGAATAGAGAGAGGAAGAATAAATTGTCGGGACGAATTTTATTTAGTTTAATGGTTCTTTTTCTTTTTTCTTGGTCTGGTGCCCTCCAGTCGAACTAAAAAGAGACTCTCGAGACGTGGCTAAGTAATTCATGAGATGCCAGTGACATTTCGATTCTCACTGGTGTATCTCCGTCGTAATGTTGGAAATCGTGAGTTTCAAGAGCATATCGATTTGCCATAGAAATATATAATATACATTTATTTTCAAACTATCGCTTGTGCACCGAATTATTGACACGGCATGGAGAAGAGAATCGAATCGACTGTACGAAAAAATAAATAAATTTTATTTCGAAACCCCGAAATTGGCGCAATTAATATTAATTATAAGAGTCACGGATATTTTTTACGCTGAATCGATCAATTATCCGTTGGATTACAATAGTTTATCG